AAAAGCTTCGTCGTAATTTTCGAATCGAATTTAAAGCTAAGATTAAATAAAGCGTCGAGAAATTAAGTTAGCGACTTAATTTTCGAAATAATTAATTCGATTATAGATCGCATTAATTTATAAGTTAAAAAACTTTTTAATTATAAAACTTATTTTATTAATTACTTCTTTTTTACTCGTAAACTATAGTTCACGAATAAACGGCACTATTATTAAAGCTTTTTTAATAGACTTAAGAACGCTAGCTAGCTCGGTATGCTTTTTAATTAAGGTTCGAATATCTTTAATAAAGTTAATTAAAAGAGACTTTTCTCGATTTATAGCTTCGATAATCTTAGCACTTTAATCGATTTTAAAAGCGAATGCGACGAAGTCGTCGAAAGCGGTATAAAAGTCTAAATTAAATTCGTCGATTTTATAATGCTTAATCGTTTTGTTTCGGATTCCGACGAGCAATTTAAAAAAAAATAAGCGGCTTTATTCGGTCTTGCTTAAAAAGTGCATTAAAATAAGTTTTTCGAAGACTCGAAAGAAAATGCGATAATAGTTTTTTAAGTTATTGATATCCCGTTCTTATATAGCAAATTCTCGCAAAAAAGCGATCGAGTCTTTAATCTGCTAAATATCGTTCTTACGAAACTCGGCTCTTAAAGCTTTAACGAAAGCAACTTAATCTTTTTTAACTTTTTATTCGAGCAAGCTTTTGATAACTTCTTTACGAAAGTTATCGCAATAACGAGAAAGCTTAATAAACCGATCGTTTTTAAAGATATTAAAGTCATTATAAGTCTCTTTATACTTTTCGATAAAGTCGGTGATATTAATACTATTAAAGCAAAAAGCCTTTAAGGCACTTAGCAATAATATACGAGTAATTATAAAAGCGTAAAAGATAATAAGGTCGACTATAATTAGCGCAAGGCTTAATAGAAAAGCAAAAGGAAAAGGAGTAGTATAAATTTTAAAACCGGTATTAATTTTAAAAAGCATTTCCGAAGTAAGTGTTTCCGATAAAAGTAAAGGTTTTAGTTAAAGGTCGAAGTAAGATAAAAATAGTCCGAAGCCTATAAGAATACGACTAAAAGATTTAATAAATTTAAAAGATTTTAACGAAAAAAGAAATGACTCGGCGCCGATTTCGATATTAAAAATCTTAAAAAGGTATTGGTATTTTAAAGATCAGATACATATATATATTAAAAATGATCGAGTTAATAAAAAGTTTTTAAATTATTTGATTTTAATTCGTAAATCGGGTTCACGAGCCAAATAAATAACTTTCGCAAAGTATTTTCGATCCGAAATTAAAAAAAGTAGACCTTTTATAAAAGTAAATTAATAGTTAAAATTAAAACTATAAAAAACTTAAGAATTAATTAATTAGCTTCGCTAATAACTCCGGACCATATCAATTGCTTTAATTCAAGATAAGAGCTAAGGTATAGAAAGGTATTTTTATTAATAAGTGAAAATTCTTTTTTATTAACAACAGAAAAGAGTTTTTGCCGAGGAATCGAAATATTATACTTCGGCCATTGCGGCGTTTCGGTGTCCGAACTCATCGAAAATAAGGTTTTGATTGTTTTGAAGTTGTAATTGAGTATAAAGTGCTGAATGATGAACGAAGATCAACTTAATTATGAATCAAGCGATTATAATAAGCTATATAAGGACAAAAACTAAAGGTTTAAATCCTTGCGTAGGTCATTAATGTAAAAGCACTTAAAAGATATGCCGTATAAAAGCTTGGCTTTAAGGCTAAACCTTATAGTCTTATAAAAGAAGTGCTAAAAAAGATAAATAGAAAGCTCGTTGATTGTTCTAGCTAAGAGATGTGTGCCCTCTTATAAAAGATAAGTCCGTCTAGTATGGCCCTAGTGGCCGTAGCAAGTACCCCATCAGGCAGGATGTTTACATTAGTTAAAGATCCTTAACTTCCTCGTAATCGTATGCATTAACTCTTATTCGCTTTACGAGTGCATAGTAAAGCTGGAGACTACTAAGGAGAAGCGCTTAATAATCGATATCATAGCGATTCGAGAGTCATACGAAAGGCGAGAGCTTTTTAAAGTACGCTAAATCAGAAGAAAATCCAACCTTGCTAACGCTATAACTAAAATCGAGGCTAATACCTCTTTGCAAGAGCTAGTTTTGACTAATACTTTAAAAGTGCAAGTGGATGGATAGGTGGAAAGGCCGCTATAAGAGAGAGAGGGATAAGATTGTTTTTCTTTTGTTTGATTACTTTCCTTCCTTTTTCGGTCGATATAATAGTTGGCAAGGCATTGCTTGCTAAAAAAAGAGTTGCCGGTGTCGGTATATTTATATCGACCTTAGCTAATAGTAGTAGTAGTAGTAGTAATAATTAAGAAGTCCACCCGTGAACCAAGGTTCACGGGCCACTTAGCATGCTTCGCTTAGCATATTAGCAGTCAAGGGACCTTTAACTTGACAAGTAAACCTATTAGCTAGCTAATGCACGTGATTCCTTTTAATTATATAAAAGGAATCAGCTCCCTTGAGCCCTAAGGAGTAGACAGAATTTAGATACTTTATCAATCGAGTGTTTTGCAATTGCAAGTACTTTGACGAACGTTACGACCTTACGAATATATTCCTAATCGCTTGGAAGCAATCCAACAGTTTATAAGTCTTAAGTCCGTTAATAAGTCGATTTTTTAAGATGTTATTATATTCCGTTTTACGAACTTTTAGTACGATAGATTTAAACTAAGTCTTTCTTTACTTTTTTTAAATAATAAAAGCACTGATCTTTTTAAGTCTTAAGTAAAAGCGTCCGTAATCATTAATATAAATACATCTTTTATTAATTATATTTTTAAAAGCTTTATACTTATTTCGATATTAATAAAGAGCTTAAGTTATGTCTTTAAAGTTCTTGCAAAAGCTATAATCTTGCATTTAGTTTTCGTATCTTTTACCTCTTTCTCTTTTTCGTTTTTATAATCCGTAGCCGATAATAATAATATAAACTTTACTTTCGAAGCTGATTTTACTTTTAGCATTTTAAGCGGTATACTTAATAAAGGCTTCGTTGTAATCTTCGAATCGAACTTAAAGCTAAGATTAAGCTAAGCGTCGAGAAATTGAGTTAGCGACTTAATTTTCGAAGTAATCAATTCGATTATAAATCGCATCGATTTGCAACTTAAAAAACTTTTTAATTATAAAACTTACTTTATTAATTTCTTTTTTTTTACTTGTAAACCGTAGTTCACGAATAAACGGCACTATTATTAAGGCTTTCTTAGCGGACTTAATCACGCTAGCTAGCTCGATATGCTTTTTAATTAAAATCCGAATATTTTTAATAAAATTGATTAAAAGAGACTTTTCTTAATTTATAGCTTCGATAATTCTAGCATTTTAATCGGTCTTAAAAGCGAATGCAGTAAAGTCGTCGAAAGCAGTATAAGAATTTAAGTCGAGCTCGTCGACTTTGCAATGCTTAATCGTTTTATTTCGAATTCCGACGAGCAATCCGAAAAAGAACAAGCGGCTTTATTCGGTCTTGCTTAAAAAGTGTATTAAAGTAAGCTTTTTAAAGACTCGAGAGAAAGTGCGATAATAGTTTTTTAAATCATTAATATCTCGTTTTTATATAGCAAATTCTCGTAAAAAAGCGATCGAGTCTTTGATCTGCTAAGTATCGTTTTTACGAAACTCGGCTCTTAAAGCTTTAACAAAAGCAGTTTAATCTTTTTTAGCTTTTTATTCGAGCAAGCTTTTAATAACTTTTTTACGAAAGTTATCGCAATAATAAAAGAGCTTAACGAACCGATCGTCTTTAAAAATATTAAAGTTATTATAAGTCTTTTTGTACTTTTCGATAAAGTCGATAATATTAGCATTACTAAAGCAAAAAGCTCTTAAAGCACTTAGCAATAGCATACGAATAGTTATGAAAGCGTAAAGAATAGCAAAGTCGATTATAATTAGCGCAAGGCTTAATAAAAAAGCAAAAGGAAAAAGAATAATATAAGTTTTAAGACCGGTATTGATTTTAAAAAGCATTTTCGAAGCAAGTGTTTTCGATAAAAGTAAAGGTTCCGGTTGAAGGTCGAAGTAAGATAAAGATAGTCCGAAGCTTATAAAAACACGATTAAAAGATTTAACGAATTTAAAAGATTTTAACGAAAAGAAAAGAGATTCGACGCCGACTTCGATATCAAGAATCTTAAGAAAGTTTTCGATATTTTAAAAATCAAATATATATGTATATTAAAAATAATCGAGTTGATAAAAGGTTTTTAAATTATTTGATTTTAATTCGTAAACCGAGTTCACAAGTAAAATAAGCGATTTTCGCAAAGTATTCTCGATTCGAAATTAAAAAAAGTAATCCTTTTGCAAAAGTAAACTAATAATCAAGATCAGAACTATAAAAAACTTAAAAATCAATTGATTAGCTTCGCTAATAACTCCGGATTATATCAATTGCTTTAATTCAAGACGAAAGCTAAGGTATAAAAAAGTATTTTCACTAATAAGTATAGTGCTTACCAGCATTAAGATCAGGAAGAGATTCTATAGATTAAATAAAGCTTGGTATATTTTATTTAAGAAGCTCGTCAAGATCTATGTACATGTACTTGGGAGCTCTAGTGTGCTAAAGGCGCTACTAAGCGAGGTCATATAACATATTATATATAGCTTGAGTGAAATCATGCTTATTCCGTATAACACATTCTTTAGGTCAGCAAAGTAGCTGCTAAGCTGCAAGCAAATAAAAAAGAAAAAAAAATAAGTGATTAAGCTTTTTAAACTCGATGTAAATAAAAGAGATTATTATCGCAATTTAAAATAAACAAATAGCGGTTATTATTATTAATCAAGTATCAATTAAGAATGCAATTCTTTTTTAAGTCGATCTTATTACGTAGCGGAAGTCTTTAGCGCCGTCTTTATCGCGTTGCTATATAAGTAGAAGCGCGTTCCTTTTTATTATAACAAACACTTAAACTCTATCTATCTATATAATGCTTTCTAAGCAAATAACTCAATCTAATGGAATCGTTAAGCGCGGCCGAGGCCGTTTAAGAGTAAATGCTTTTAATAGATTAATATTTCTATGCTAACTATTAGAAGAATCTTTTATCTGCCTTAGCTATTGCTGCTGTTATAGCTGCGGCAGCGGCGGCGATACCTCGTATTTTTACCCTCGAACCTTCGCCCTTTCTTTTAGACCTTCTTATTAAGCGCTTGCTTATGCTAACGATCGTCAAAGCTTTAAGGTGCATTAAGTATATTAATAATAAGATCATATCGAAGTCTAATAAAGACTATTATAATTACGATACGAGCGTTATACGCTATCTTCGGTATGCTAAAAGTAGCTATAGCAATTGCACCGCTGCTTTTGCCGCTGCTAATACCGCTTTCGAAAACTTCGTAAGCGTTAAAGATAATAATGCTATATAAAGAGTTCGCCGAAGTCTCCGAGATGCTATGCGATAATAGCTCGCTTTAGATGCTGCCTTTTCAAGAGGTGTTGCTAGTAGTCCGAGCGGTCTTGCGAGTAAAGGTTTTAAAAGTAATCTTAGTAGCTTTGCAAGTTTTGCTTTTGCTTTTAAGACCTTCAATTTGAATATAGCTTTTATTAGATTGAATGGTCTTGTAGCAGCGAATCGTAGTCCGGTGACACGGAGCGCTTCGAGCATATTACCTTTTCGTAAATCAAGCTCTTTGATTTTCGAAATAATTTAATTTAAGCAACTCTTTTTAATTAAAACTTCTTTTCGGACTTTATGCAAAGGCTTTAATTTGCTGTTATAGCAGCTTTTGCGCTTGCGCTAGCCGCTTTTGTTGCTTTCGTCGCTTTTGCAGCTTTCGTCGCTTTCGTCGTATTTATTATCGTCGCTCTTTTTGCGCTAGTTATTGCGCTTGCCGCTCTTGCGGCGGCGCTCGCCGTTGTTATAACTCCCGCGAAGCGCCGGGCTAAAGTAAAAAGATTGCTAAAAGCTTTGGTTAATCTTTTATTATGAAAGGCGAAGAGTAAAAGCGTATAAAATAAGATAAAATAATAGTTAAGATTGCTAAATAGATATTTTCTTTTAAATCACGTGCAAATGAAAAAATTAAATGTAATAAGTAAATAGCATATGCGTATTATTATAGCTTTTCGATAAACGCGCGAGCGTTTTATAAATTTAAGAGCTTAATAAAGCTTTTAAACTTCTGTCGAATCAGGTTTTTAATAAGACTATTAACGTGCATTTCGTTAATAAAAAGATATTGAACTTAAAAGCTTCTTTTAAAGTGCTTTTAGCGCAGCTATATATTATGAATATCGACGTAGCGAAGCTTGGTAAAGATACGCTCCTTTTTATTAGCTATAAGCTTAATTGTTTATTAATTATTATAATAAACCACTTAAAGCGCCGCAAATCAAAGGTGCAGCTCTTTGAAAAATCGTTAAAGCGCTATAATCTTTTTTATTATAAAGGCCATGCTAAGAAGCTTCGCTTTAATAAATAATATAATAACTATATCTTGTTTTAAAGCTTTTTAAAAAATCGCACTTTCGAATAAGAATATAATATATTTTTAAAAAGATCGCTTTATCTTTTCGTTATCGGCGTAAAAAGCGTTAAAAGCTATTATTAGCTCCGATTTGCTAAACTAGCTGTATTAAATACTTTTAAAGCGCGAGCTAAATAAATATCGCAAACATTAGTTTATAGCTCGAAGGTGCTTCGCGCTTAAATTAATATTAAAGTAAGAGAATTAAGAAGCTGTAAAAGCTATATTTAAGCGTAGCATAATCGCTATATATAATACGGATCCAACCTTCTTTTAGTATTTTTTTATTTGCTTTCGCGAAGCTATCTTTTTATTTTTAATTAAATTATAAAACGGTAATAGAATTGCTAAGCAGCGTCCGTTCGTAAATTCGAATTTCTTAGCTATTTTTCTAATATAAGCGTCGTGCATAAGCGTTAACGTTTTCGTTAACGGTCGCGGACGACTTTTATATTAAAAAACTATTTAATATCTTTTATCGCTTTAATTTTATACGTTTTATTAAGACCGTTAATAATCTTTTGCGCTTTAAAAAGATTAAAATAATAATATATAATTTGAATATCGTTAATATAAAACGCTATAAAAACCGTTTTATTTAAATTCGTAAAAATACACGATTTTTTACCGAATAGTATAAGCTTTAATTTGTCGAGTATACTTATAAAGTCGAAATACTATAAAGCTAGCGAATCTTTAAGTTTATATAAGGCTTTATCGACTTCTACGAGCATACTTTTTTGCTTAAAATCGTTAAAAAGATAACACGTAATTAAAACGCTATCCGTATGTTTTATAGCGTTGATAAAAGCGTTAACGACGTCGAATTGTTTTACTTTTAAGTTAAATTCGGTTGCTATAACTATTATAATCTTAAAAGATCTAGCTATTAGCGTAATAGCGTAAGTTAAATAAATAATAGATTCGTCTTAAAGGTCACTTTTAATAATAATCTTCGATTTAAACTTTACGATCTCTTCGAACGAGCTAGTTTTATATATAAACACTTACTTAAAAGGTATAAGTTTTGACTTAGCTTCGCTTTCGGAAATTACTTTTTAATAGTTCTTTTTTTTTAAATTATTTAGCTTTATAAAAGCTCCGTTCATGAACTCTTTGCCGTATAAATGCCGTTATAGCTTTTTCTAATAAGTAAAAAGTTTTAAATGTTTTCGTTCTTGCGGATTAAGCTATTTTAATAATAGCTTAAACGAAGTAGCAGCTGCTATAATAGCGTATAATATTTCGTAATCTTTATTATTTTCGCGCACGGGTTCGTTATTAATTTAAAAAGTCGATATAAAATCTAAAACGCGCGAATAGCAATTCGAATCGGCGCAAAAGTTATTTAAGAAAAGCTTATTAACACTTGCATATATTTTCGCGCGTTTTTTAATACGGCTATTAATAAGTAAATGCTTTTTATTAAAGTCGGAATTTTATTTAAAATGTTTATAATTTAATTTTTTATTATTAATACTCGCTTTAAAAAGGTCTAAAAGCTTTTTTTTGATTATTCGGTTTAAATCTCCGCCGATTATTAACGTAAAAGCTTTCGTTAGTCGGCTTATAGCTTAGCCTTTTAAGCCTCGGCTTTAAATAATAACTTAAAGGTATGATTTGCGCGCTTTTTTATTAAAGCCAAGTTTTTGCTCGCTTACGGTGCTTCTCTTTGCTTTTAGCAGTCTTAAAGCACTTTCGCTTTTGCTTTTAATTAAAAAGCTAGCGAAACGTTTAGCGGTATAATTTAAATCGTTAAGATCTATTAAATCGTTTCGTAAAGCAATTGCTTTTAATATAAACGTATTTATAAAATTTCTAATTAAAATTAGAACTTTTGACGTTTATGCATCGCTCGGATTAAATAAGGTCGCATTCTTTAAGCTTTAATTAAATCTTTTTAAATTAACCTTTATAAGGTTTGACGGCTGTTCACTTTTTATATCAATTGCATTCGTCTTTTTTAAGCGATCCTTTGCAACGTTTTCTATATTAAACAAAGCGTCTTTTATTTAATTAAAGTCTTTAATATCTTTTAATTTAATAACGATGCTTTTAATTTCGCTAATCGATTGGCCGACCGATTTTTCTTTGTCTTTAAAATAAAATTAAGTCTTATCGAACGTTACGTTGCGTATAATAATCACTTTATAAAGCATAAGAACATAGACCTTATATATATTAAAAGCTATATATTTAATTAAATAGCTTATATATCTTTTCGGTTTAACTTTAAAAGCTCTTTTATTGCGAAAAGCTTTTCGGTTTTTAATTATTAAGTACGCACGAGCGCTATACGCAACCAAGCCGCTATAATTTAGTTTTAAGTCGGTATCGATTCGTATAAAGATCGCCGGATCGTACTACTTAAAATATTATTTAAATTAAAGCTATAATACTTTATTCGGACTTTTTATAAAGCTCTTCGCTTTCGGTGTCATATTATAAAGATAGATAGCGGCTAATATAATCTCAAGCTAAAGCTTCTTTAAAAGCTTTACTTTTATTTTTATTTTGATAAACCGTTTTTTTTTTTTTTTTAGCTTTTTCGGCTCTTTTATTAAGTTCGTAATTAAAAGATAATAAGAGCTTTAACTCGATCTTAACTTTTTTCGCTTATCTTTAATATTCGATAAAGCCGATAACGTTAATTGCGATTACCGAAAAATCGTTATTATAGCGTATAATAATTATTAAAAGACCGTATTTGCGTTTCGTTTATACTTCGAATTCTTTTAGCACTTTTATAACCGTTAATTGCAACTTATCTTTTAATATAAAGCCGAATAGCTTCTTATTGTATTCATTTTTAATTATTAATAACTATTTGCTTTTATTAAAACCGTTAAAGAAGTCGAATAAATTTTAAGCGATTTTATAAAATAGTTTAATTGCTTTATTATTTAACGTGCGGCGAAATATGACTTGTTAAGCGTGCGTAATAGCATATGCTTTATATTCAATTTTAATAATTCTTTTAAGTCTTACTTTTTTAACGTTATAAGCTAGCGCTTCGAGCGCTTTTTTGCTTAAATAACTTGTTCGTAAATGCTAAAGTATCGATAAATCTTTTTTTAAAGCTCGGAATATATGTGACGACACGCCAGGTCTCCTGGACGCACCTTATATGCGCCAAGCTACTTCCTTCTTTTTTTCCTTCGTATTCTTCGTATTCTCTCATTCCCCGCTTTTGACCTATGAACTATGGTTCACGAGTCCTTGGCGCTCTTACCTTCGTGTATATAGACCTCAGCTACTTTCGACTTTTATATTCGGTAGTTGTTGATTCTAAGTCATTATTTTGAGATTCTTTTAAGCTCTTATGTGAACCTCGCGCTCTCGTGAGTTCCTTTAAGTAATCGCTTAAAGTCGTTATATTATCAACAACTACTTTACTCCGCCGGGAACGGCTTTAATAATATTCCTCTTCTTTAGAATTCCTTAGTAGTTGGACGTCAAAAAACATTCAGACGACTTTAACGGTCACGAGAAGGCCTATTTTAAGTACAACTTGAAGGATAGCACTTATACAATACAGCAACCTTCGCCCCGCGGGCAAAATCCTTCGCACACCTCTTAAAGCTGCTTTAGCAGCTCCCTTCTCCTCTTCTACGGCTCAACTAGCAGTTCCTTCTACTTAAGAAGAAGCTACTAATGAGCAAGACGATGAAGATGATCCTTCGGCCCTTACTAACCCCGAGGAAGCTTTGGCCTAACACTAAGCTCTCCTTTAGTCCTAACGAGAGGCCGCTGAGCTCAGGAAGCTCTTCGCAGACATGAAAACCCGCAACGAGGAGCTCGATAAAAGCGCTAGCGAACAAAAAACCTTCGCCGAAAGGGCTGAAAAAAAGGCCCGTCGAGCTCGAAAGGAACTAGACCAGCTCTAGGCGGTCCTGCCAACTACGGAACGCCCGTCAGAGCCTCTTTAAGTTTCCTTCGAAGATAATTCCAAAGGCAAAGAGCTATACAAGCCCTCGGTCCCCTAGGCTATTCCTTTTACCTATGGAACCGCCAACCTTCGCCGCCTCTTCGCCGACGACGATGAACCACCTTCTCTTCACAGGCCAACCAACCTTCGCACTCTAGCTAGGTTCAACACCCTTGGAGCCTCCTCTTCAGCTTCTTAAGGTCGCGCTCGTATCGAGCGGATCCTTAACCTTAAACAGAAGCTCTTAGACGGTGTAAGCTATCGAGCACGCCACTAGCAAGCCCGCGTCTTCGACAACTTGGAAGCTTTCGATGAATACTTTTTCACAGAACGCTAGCGCAAGAACTACGTCCTTGACCAAACCGAAAGAACAGCCCACCTGTTCCTGGCCCCTTTGGTCATGGATCGTAGCAACCCCGTAACCGCCCCGGAGCTCGTCCAGATCGCCTTCGAGTTCTTGAACGACCCTTTAGAGCACGCCAGCCACGTCCGCCAGGTCTCCTGGACGCACCTCACATGCGCCAAGCTACTTCC